GGCCCCGGGCGCGTCATGGCGGGGTGCTGGGGGGCCCCCCCCCCGCCGTCCTCCCCGCGCCCCGGAAGGACAAGCGGGTGCTGGGAAGATGGCGGCGGCGAGCGGGCCGGCGGAGGCGCCTCCGGTGTGCGTGCTGGTGCTGGGCATGGCCGGCTCCGGGAAAACCACCTTCGTGCAGGTGAGGGGCGGCTGAGGGACTTCGGGGCGCTGCCGGGTGCTGCCGGTTTCCCTCAGCGCTGCCCTCATGTCCAGCGGGGCCTGACGCCTCCTCGTGTCCCCTTAGCGACTCGCGGCCCACCTGCATGGGCAACGCTGCCCCCCGTACGTGATCAACCTGGACCCCGCGGTGCACGACCTGCCCTTCCCCGCCAACATCGGTGAGTCCTGCAGCCCTTGCTCAGCCCCGGGCCGTGTGAGGGAGGGGGTGGTCCCGGACCAGAGGTGTGGCGTGTTTGTGGAGTCTGCCAGACGGAAGGAAGTGTGTTTTGCCATAAATAAATAAAACCATTTTTGATATAGTGCTTTTCATACGTTTCGCGAGACGGGGCGGGGTATGTGAGGTATTTGGCTAGGTGCTTATATTGTCTTTAAAAGATTCCAAGTCCTAACACCACAAGAAGGACTTTAAGATTTTTTTTTTTTTTTTAAATTTAACTCCTTTCTGCTGTCAGACTTTAACGTGTGAATTTTTAGGACCAAAGGCGTTTTTCCATCGCGTTTGTACATTTTTTTACATCATCTGGTGTGATTTGATGTGTCTGGGTTCTTGTGGGTTTTTTTTCTTTGCCAGCGATGAACGTATTAGCAGATTCGATCTGGTTGCCTACATCCAGCACAGTGGTAGCCATATGTGCTACCAAATAACTTCTTTAAAGCACTTTAAAATACATGAATTTTAGAGAAAATACCTTAACAATAAACCAGACCTTATGTTTAGCTATTCCAAAGGGCTTACCAATCATTAGGTTTGTGAGGGTCCTCTCTCTTAAGCTTTCTAAAGTGTGTCAGCCTGCCTCTCCAGAGGATAAAAAAGTCAGTGTGGATACCAAGGTTGTTTTATTGATGTAAAATGAATAACTGCAGTATCTATTCCAGTGCTGGATCTCTAATTATACAGTTAGATACCTATACTTTGTTAACCGATGTTGATCAGGTGAGAATAAAGTTCAACTGAAGCGGTTACTGCTAAATACCTAAATTGGGGGTGTTTCATGTGAATTACATTGGGTTCCATATGTATGTTGAGAGCATAGCAGATCTGTTAGATTTTATTTATTCTACCTGGGAGATTTTTCCTGTTGGTGTTAGATCTATTACTGAGACAAAAGGAGACTTGCTAGAAAAAGAAGGGCTTTCACCTATCAGCAAATTGATGAAGAAGGATATTTTAAAAGTGATGTCCTAAAACTATTTATACGTCTTCCTCCTCTAGATATCAGGGACACTGTGAAGTACAAAGAAGTCATGAAACAGTATCCTTTTTTTGTCTAAATAATGATATTTGAAATCTGAGATTTTGTGAAAATACTCTGTCACTTCTGCACACTACGATGAAGGGGGCAGGAGGTGTTGGGGATTGCAGTAATGCAGAATGCTGCGTGAAAATCAGAAGTTTTTAACCATGTACTTCTTGCATGTGAGGCTAGAAACGTATGTTCTGTAAGATTTGATGCTCCTTAGGTCATTCTCTCCTGTGCTAAAAGTGATTCTGCTTAACAGTATGTTTTTACAAATAATAGGCACTCTGCCCACATCTTTTTTTCTTTCTATTGTTCTTTCGAAGAGCTTGTATTTTTCTCTGTGGAAGCCAGCAGCCTTTTCCACATATTTCAACAAGTCTAATTTTATTTGTTATAAAAAAATATGCAAATTCCTATTTGCCTGTAGTAGGTGGAGAAAACTATTTCCACGTTGTTTGACCATAATCAAAGTACTGTTGTCTTTCCGAATCTCAAAGACTGTTGGCCCTTGCTGCACAGAAGTTTGATCACTGTAGTTCAGTAACATTACACTAAAATGACTGCACTTCCAGAGGGGTATGGAGGTCCTTTGTCTCCTAAGTAATAGCTTGTGCAGATGGAGATAATATACAGTGTTTGGATTTGACTTGCTAATGTGACTCTTAAATTTAGTATTTTAGACAAGAATAAAGATGGTGGGGGATAGGTTTCTTGATTTTGGCTGTTTTTTGATTTGGAGTTACCAGCAAAGCATCCAAGTATGAGTTTCATTTTGGTATGTAGGTGCATTTTTTGCTTTACTGTTAGCCATTACCAGGGTTTAAGCATCTCATTAAATAATGCTTAAGGAGGGTGTCTGGCCTCGTGTTTGGATATTGAGAGTAGTGGCCCTAGAAGACAGTATGTACTTATGAATCAGTGCTGGTTCTTATGCAGTTAAAAAAAAAAAAAAAAGATTGTTTCTTTGAGCATAATTAGTATACAGATCTGTATGCCTGAAAAAGGATTTTGAAATCTTCATCTTTACATTCATTCCCATTATCATTTAAATTCTGCTAAAAATTTATTTGTGCAAGAACTATTTTAATTATCTTTTGGTGTATAAATTCTTAAAATTAAGTGCATGCAGGGCATTGTTAAATTCTGAGTTACTGGCTGCATTGTAAATCTTTTTGGAAAGAGAAAGATGGCTTTGGTGTAAACGTGTACATATATTTTCTCTTTGTCCAGGATGGTAATGCTTGAATAATAGCAAGGGGAAGCCACAGCATAGCCCCTTTTCCTTTTGTCAATCACACATGTTTGGGCAAGAGAGAGACCGCTTTGTATTTGTTATGCTACTGCATCACTTGGAAGACTTAGTTGTGTATTAGGGGTATTGTCTTTTGCTGCAAGGTATCCAATGTGCATTGTACATGGCCAAGTATTATGAGAACTGAAAAAGAAGCCCTCTGAGGTTTGCATAATCATCTGCTTTCCTAAATGAAGCATTTAGATATGGGCTGGGCCCAAATGGTGGAATAGTGACCTCTCTCAATCTCTTTGCTACAAGATTTGATCAGGTACGAGGTTGTTCCTATGTGATACTGTGCTACAGATACTGTGCTGGGAGACTGTGGGTTTTTTTGTATATTTGGAGTCTCAGAGAGCACTGTGTTTGGTTAGCCTCCTAATATTTCTTTGGAGTTAGAGTATTCTCCACACAGAACCATGAAAGCTAAAGCACATTAGCTTTCATTTGAGAGATTTCAGTTTTTCAGCTTTTTTAGAAGTAAAATTTAGAAGCCACATGGACAGAATATTCTTTAGTCTTTGTACATTACTGTTCTGTTGCTCTGTATTCACTGTAAAATCTTTCATATGAATGCTCTGATGTTGAACTAGGGAAGCTCACTTCTGGGAACGGGTTAAGTTTTCCTAGGGTTATTTGATAATTGATTGCTCTCTTAAGTCATAATGCTAAATCAGCGCTGGGGTGGGAACTTATGCAAGATATTGAGACAGTGCGCAATCTTTTAGTAAAAAGCTAGGGAACAGCTGCATTTGTTATACCATTTCTTTAGCCAGGTACTAGAACACAGACAAAATCGAGGTTGTTTTTGACCTATGCAGTGTCTGAGCGTTTTCCACCCTTCCTTAGTAGGGCATTTTCACACATTGAAAAGCTTAGAGACTTTAATCTTCTCTCGATACATACATGCAGCTCTGCAAGTTAATGTAGTTTCTGTTATGAAATTATTATGTAAGTTTCCTGTTGTGAGCCTAAATACAAAGTATACTCCTTCTTTTTCAATCAGGTGATGAAGTTTATTGAAAAAAGACAAAATGCATCCAAGTGAGTACATTCTACCAAGTTCTGCTTTTCTGGGATCAGTGTGGGAAGACCATGTGAAATCCTAAAAGGGTTCTCTGCATGTTTTCTGGTTGTTTTTCAGCCTTGGTATAAATTTTAGGCAGAAAAGGGCATAGAATTAGAACAGATAAACTAGACTTTCTTTGGATACATCAAAGAAATGTCTGCTGATTCCAGTTCTGCTTTTTTTGTCTTCTATTAGACTGTCATTTTTTCTCATGCATTGTTCAAATAGGCAACAATTAATTCTTCTTCTGAAGAGTTTGCAGTACTAAGTGTCTGTCAGATTGATGCCTTCAACTTTAATTGAACCTGAAGAGAGTACGCGCTTCTTAGTTACAAAATTCACACAGGAAATTTTCAGGCATGCCCATAAGTCTTGTCACTGTTTGGGAGAAGTTTTTCTGATCTGTAACAGAATAATCATGTGACTTGCCGTTATGTGCTTGTGGTAATCTAGTCAGAACAGGACCTTGTGCTTAACTAACTTTCCCTTATTGTTTGTTGGGGCTGACTTCTTAACAGGTATGTTATTATTGACACACCAGGGCAAATTGAGGTGTTCACCTGGTCAGCATCAGGAACAATCATAACTGAGGCCTTGGTAAGTGTTTTCTACACGACTTGACAGTGAGGCTGTGTGAAAGAAGTGACTGTTGAACAGCATGTACTTCTAATTAAAACATGTTTTACTTTGTGTTTCCAGGCTTCCTCTTTTCCTTCAGTTGTTGTTTATGTGATGGACACTTCTCGCAGTACTAACCCTATCACCTTTATGTCCAACATGCTGTATGCCTGCAGGTAAGAAAAGCTGAAGATGCAGTCCATTTCCTTTGATTGCTGTGTCTCTTTGATACTTATTTTGGAGGGGAATCACAGAATCATGGAGTGGTTTGGGTTGGAAGGGACCTTTAAAGACCATATAGTCCACCCCCGCTTCCATGGGCTGGGACATTTTTCACTAGATCAGGTTGCCCAAAGCCCCATCCAGTCTGACCTCGAACACTTCCGATGACTGGGCGTCCACAGCTTCTCTGGGCAATCTGCTCCAATGTCTTGCCACTGTCATAAAAAATTTCTTCCTTATGTCCAATCTAAACCTACCCTCTTTCAGTTTAAAACCATCGCCCCTTGTCCTGTCACTACAGGCCTTGGTAAAAAAGTCTCTCTCTGTCGTTCTTATTAGCCCCCGTTAGATACTGAAAAGCCACAATAAGGTCTCCCCGGAGCCTTCCCTTCGCCAGGCTGAACAACCCCAATTCTCTCAGCCTTTCTTCATAGGAGAGGTGTTCCAGTCCTCTGATTGTTTTCGTGGCCCTCCCCTGGACCTGCTCCGACAGGTCCATGTCTTTCTTGTACCGTGGGTTCCAGAGCTGGACGCAGTGCTCCAGGTGGGGTCTCACGAGAGCAAAGGGGGAGAATCCCCTCCCTCAACCTGCTGGCCATGCTTCTTTTGATGCAGCCCAGGATATGATTGCCTTTCTGGGCTGCAAGTGCACATCGATGCCACATATCCACTCAATTTGCTCTTTTCGTTATTCTCTGTCTTAGTGGTTTTCCCACTGGATAAGCAAAATATCCACAGGTGCCAGTGGACATCAGGAGGTCATTGGGTCAAAACTGCCACCGAAAGCATTAAGTAATCCATGAGACCTTAGGGTAATAAAGGCTAGTTACATCAGATCGAACACATTGCCTGTTGCTTATAAAATCATTTCCTAAGATGTATCAAGATAGCCTAGTTTAAGCTCCTTCTTGTAAACACATATTTTATTCTATTTTTTTAATATTATTGATACTTTCAGTGATTCTTCAAGATTTGTTTGGAGCTCGGCTTAGCATGGAGTTCTTGATTTATTGTCTTCCTCCTCATACATGGATTTATCTATTTTCTTTCATGTTAAACTAAATACCTATGTAAAGATCAGCATATCTAGAGCTGTCATAATTCATGGTAAATGTTGGTAAAAGGTTTTCAAAAAACCTATCAATCCTTGTACCAAGGTCAAAAGCTATATCTCTGTGATAGGAGTATGCAAAATGTGTCTTATCACATGCTGCATTTTCTGACATTAGCGTTGAGCAAAAGATGCTAAAATATATACGGTAAAATGAATATGTAAGCTCATGTTTCGAGGTAGTTTTGCTTTATAGGTGTTTTGAGTTATTTGAATTCATTGCTCAGTTCACAGATAATATCTCAGAACCTAAGGTTTGAGTCAAAATAATTAGAAAATGCAAAGAGTTAAAGACTGGGACCTGAGAGTCATAGAAATAGTAATCAAAATCAACTGGGTGTGTAGAAGGAGATTTTATCTTTTACAGACGTGCACTTACATCGTTGGGGGGGCATATTTTGTTCAACTACGGTAAGCAGGATCTGGGTGAAAATTACATTCTAATTGATGTGGAGGAAAATAATTACCTTTTGAAGTCAAATGTCTTCAGTTTTGCACAAGTGTTGTCTGCCTTACGCTTACCTTGTTTTCTATTATAGTGAGATTTAAATTATTTTTTGATGTTTTTTTTGTGGTTTTTTTTGTTCCCTTCCCCCCCCCCCCCCCC